TAATATTCATAAGAGTTAAAAACCTATTTTTTTAAATATTTCTTCATTTGTTAGTCATTTTGTTCTGTAATTATAAATTTGTAAAGTTCCAATAAATTTATTTTTGTTGCTGTGTACAATTTTTGGCACATTTTACTTTTTTTCACTAGTGCGTAAAGTACTTTTTTTCACTAGTGAAAAAAAGTAACTTTTATATTTCTAATATTAGTGGATTATGTGTACGGTAGTAGAAAAAATATTGTATGACACTCGTGAGTACGTCCCTTTTTTGACTCATGTGATTGTCGCACGAGCCGTAGGCGAGTGCGACAACATTCACATTCGTCAAAAAAGGGTAACTTTACACACTTGTTGCATAAATAACTATTATTAAACTTATGTTTTATATATTATGTTCATATACGTTTCTATTATTATGAATTTAAAAAAGCTAATAATATATTTAAATACAATTCCTTTAAAATTTGCAAATCATTTAAGAATTTTTTTTTTAATTCTGATAGTTTTGCAAAATCTATGCAAACTCCACGACTATACCTATACAGTAAACTGTCAGTGTCTTACCATAAATAAACCTTTTTAAAAGACTGGATTAACGGTAATAGGCAATTGATAAATAAATATAAGGAAAACGACAAAACTTATTTTTATTTGAATTCATTATAAATATACAAAAAGATTTCCTGGCTTCATAATATCATTTAATTCTAGTTCATCAAAAATAAACTTCTAATATTTGAACTTCCTTATTTCAAAATTTGGAGAATCCACACAAAAAAGCCCATTATGCTTCTTAGATATCAACATTTGCAGTTGAATATGATAATAATAAGTTTCTGGTTACTTTGTACTCGATATATTGAGTCCCCTAAATGCAAAACTCGGTATTTGCTAGTTACAAAATTTTTCAGGAATGACAAAAAGCTGTCAGTAATTAAAATACATATGTATTCGTTTTAAATTTTGTTTTTGGTTGGCTCTAGTGATTTTGTTTTGAAATAACTATGCTCTTCATTCCGAAATCCTACCAAAAATTAAAAAAAAAAAACTTTTAAAATTAAAATACCGAGTTTTGCATTTATGTTTTAAAAATACCCAGTTTTGCAACTCACAATTGCAAATACCGATAAGTGCATGGTTGTCTTATTTTAGAACATTTATTTTCTTACAATTTTTCTTTCAAAAAGATACAAAAATATAAATTAAAACATTTTTATTAGGTGTAATAAATTATATACAAGCAAAAAAATCTTCCCTAAATAAGCAAACTACAAATGAATTAATTAAAATGTCTACGTGCCCGTGCACAGGAGCGGCTAAATGCTGACCAGCGTGCACATATTATTTTTTGTGTTTTCCGCTAGATGGCGTGTATTTGAGCGCGGTTTTTTAAATTGATAATTTTGACTTGCACACCATACAGTGCGTCAAAAATTGTATTTTAAATTATATTTTATTGTTATTAATTCTGGGTAGACGTGAGTTAATAAATAACCCATTAATTAGGAAGTTATTTGTAGATATAAATAAAATCACTACAAATTTGTTAGTAATTTAAATAATAATATTGGGTTTTGATGGTATATTAAAACACTAAATCATTATAGTCAATTTATTAAAATATAGAAATAATAGTTGTGACAATCATTGTCTCTAAAAAATTGAGTTTCATTCTTTTTTGTGTATAGAATTGTTTAATAAATATATATTAAGGGTAGGGTGAGTGTATGGTGAATAATAAAATGATTTCTATTTCTACATGTATGTCTCGAATCTAAAATAAAAATAAGCCTAATTGGTCCTTTTGTGCAATGAATAATACTCTTGTAGCGGCAGGAGAAGACATGGCCGATAAAGTACTTTATGAAGTATATACAAAAGTTCTACTTTTCAACTGTTTTCTGTCCGAATAACGACGTTTTTTGACACATTCGAATAAGAAAATTTTTAAAATGTACAAACATATTATAAGACCTAAATAACCTATAGGTATAACACAATTTTAAAAATGTTACAAATGAGGTAAAAATTAAATACAAATTAAAGTTTCAAATAGTTATAGCATACATTAGAATAATAAAGTGGTACCATTACGGATCACCGATTATCACTCATAAATTCTACATAGTGTTAATATGTCTTAGACGAAAGATATGCATAAAGTTTATATTTGAATGTATTAAAGATTCGTTGCTATCAATATGAATATATATTTATTGAAACATTCAATACCTCTATTGATGTCAGAACATAAAAAATAATAATAAATAGGCAAATAAAAAGTGATGGGTCATAATAATACCAATTCTACCTCTCTTGTCTTAAATAAAATACATTACAGATTAAGTTAAAAAAGTATTTAACTAGGAAAAGGAACCTTAATCTATATCAACTAATATTAAAAAAAAATCAAAAACCTTAAATTAGAAATTAAAAATAATTATGATCATTGTCACTACTTTTACTAATAACTAAAGAACTGCTAAGAGTACTTCTAATAATTTCGTTTTCATTTAAATTGGGTTTTTTTTTGATAATTATTGCCCTTTTGCTTTTTTTTTGTTGTGGTGAAGACCAGCTGTTTTTTAATTTTTTTATTTGGTGGCTCATTAATTTCTGCAGAGGTTACTCAAGGAATATCGACTCTGCTAATGCTGTTGTCATAGTTTAAGAGCAAATTAGCATTCTTCAAATATTGAGAAACTTGCCTGAGAACATTTTCATCAGAGGAATTTTCTAATTTGCCCTGCATATCATTGATTTAATTTTTTATTTTATTTTTTAATGTGCCTAAACTTGTTGCCTCTGCTGAAATATTTTGTCCCAAATACTCTAAATGTGTATTTACTTCAGCCTTGTCTTCATCACATTTATTTTGTTTATATTTACCATCAGCTTCTTCAGAATTGTTATCTGGCGTATATAGCAAAATGAAAGGAATATGTTTGCGTATTGTATTTCGTCTTAAATAATTCAAATTCAAATTCAAACGTATTTGTTCGACAATTGACAATATGATCAGCAGTAGCTGCGCCCTCTGACGAAAAGTAAAATAAATAATATGTGCACGCCGGTCAGCATTTAGCCGCTCCTCCGTGCACTTACCTAATCACGTGACTATTTGGCGCAACGCCATTGACAAGTTACAATTACGTAGTTTTGCATTTGACAAGACAAGTCTTCGTTTTCTAAAGCGTTTTTAATGCAGAAATAAGAAGTTTTGCATCTTATTATAGAAGGAGAATGCTAGAGTTTGACATAAGGAATTGAATGGCGCCAAAACATTACTTTTGAAAATTTCGTCAAATACCGAGTTTTGCATTTAGGGGACTCAATATCTATTCACTATTATTGATAAAAATCACATATTTAATGTTTTTAATTCGAAAAAGAATCGACAGCCTCAAATTATTAGAACTTCAAACTTTTGACAACAGTGGCCTTTTCTTATAACACAATGTGGATGTGATGGAAGTTTATTCACTTCGATGGTGTCCAGAAGCCACAACAAGAGAGCAACACTATGTATTTTGAGCTTTTTATTATTGACAGGAATTGAAATTACCTTCGAAAGCAGAATATTCTGTGAATTTACAAGATACCACCTTTTCCTTTTGTTCATTTATTACTGAATAACGCTATAAACTTTTTGTATTCTGGGGGTAATTCTAGCTTTAATGTTACAAATAGTAACCGAATTGTGCTAGTGCACCTCCTTGGCAACAATATTGAGTAGTGAGTTTGTATAATAAAAAATGTTCCTTTTTTAAACACAAACCTCTTTGAATACAATAATTCTAGAAAGATTTGGAGCTTAGAAAGTGTACTTACTGTCGTCTTTACGTTGCTAATTTCAGAGCTAATAAACTTTATATTATTTATATAAAAAATCATTAATCATGTTAGAATCCACCTTGCGAAAGTTGTCTAAAGATTCTTCTTTTAATCCAGTTTGTACTTTGGAAATTTTTAAAATAAATCCAAATATTCTCGACTCGAAATTGAAAAAGAGGTTAGGATTTAGATTTTAGAATGCAAAATAAAACCACGTTGCCAAGTGTCAAGTTGCTTCATAAAACGGAATTTAAACAAATATTGTTTAGTTTTAATATACTGGGTGTTCAAATTAAAGTGTTACAGCCGAGGTTACAGCTAAATACCGCCATTTATAAAAAAACGTTTCAGACGAAAGTTTTATAGTTTTGTGGAGAAAATTTTTTGGCTAAAATTGTTTTTTATTGCTATCCATAATATGGACAACTTTTCTTTCACCTAGCAACATTTTTAAGTAGTTGTTACTCAAAAAGTAAAAGTTCAATAAAAAAAATATTTCCATCAAAAGTTTCTTATTTTTTTATGTACTTTAAGAATATTTAAAAAAATGGGATTCCCATTTAAAAAAACAAAGTCCACCTCGATATGGCCATATTATGGTCAGCTTTAAAAAATGAATTTAGCCAATATGTTTCCCCCAAAAAACTATAAAACTTTTGTCTGAAACTTTTTTTTCTAAAATGCATATTTTCAGCGGTATTAAACACCCGGTATATGTTTTTATGTTAAATTATACGATCTTAACCTTTAAATTGTACAAATATATCGACTCTGTCTGAAAGGTTATAAATTAGCCAATCAGCTTTTAAGCTTCATTATGACGATGTTTAAAAATCATTGTGGCGCGCGTTTTTTGGAATTTTAAAAAATTCTAGGGAAATTTGAAAAAAAATTTAAAAAAATATTTTTAAATTAGATTTTGTGCTAGCTTTTAGAAAAAAATAGTTTTGAATTTCACTAAACACGCCCATTTTGTCACATGCGATACACGTATTGTTGAAACTCTGTACTTCCAAAATTACTACAAGGTAAACAATTTTTTTAGTTTTTTAAATTGTTTGTACCTATTAAAATATAAAATACCTTCATAAAAATTTTGATATACATATTTATCACAAAAAACATTTTAATAAAAATTTAATTCTTAATAAATAATTGAAACTCACCGTTGCTTAAGCTCTCCAGGACTGTACTCTTTCACGGGGGCTAAGGGAGGCATTTCTCCTTCACTGGAATCGCTACTGTACTCTAAATTTCCGTTGGTTCTTGGTTTCTCCAGCAAGCCGTTGATAAGAGCGTCTGGACTTTCAACGTAAGAACGAGGTTCTGTGCGTGGCCTTAGAACTCTCCTAACGTTCGTAATAGACAAGGGCTGTTGTATAGAGTGGGAGTTAAAGTTGTTGGTAGTTATATGTAATTGGTGGTAACTGGGTGGTGTTGATGAAGTTCTGTTGCTGGAAAAAATAATGGATCGCATGTAATAAGCGCTGTATGAAAATAATATTAATTTTAAATCTGGCAGAATTCGGAAATATTTGTGACCAACATACCTAATATAACATTTTTTTAAATAATTGAAATGAGTTACATAATAATAACATTTATGGAGTTTGTTATTTGTTTGCATATCTTTACGTGACGTTCATTCCTAAATTTTTAATTGTTTTCGAGAATGTTTGTATGTTTGTGTAGCAAAGTTTATTTTAAACATACACTTTTTACTCTTAGATGACAACATTACTGAAAGTGTAAGTGATAATTAAAATTCGAGATAAATTTTTCACATAATTTCCTGATAAAAAATTACATCGGCAGGTAAGCAATTATACCAAGTTAGGCTGTAAGTAGAGTTTGATGCCTTTAGGGCTATAATCTTAGACTTTAAGACCCAACTATATATTTAAGGATTGTTCGAGGGATTGTTATTACATATTACTTCATTAATCATCTATTAGCTATTTTCGCGGAACCGATCGCGGACGTATTCTCAACGCTAAGGTTAAGCCTACATAAATATTTAAACAATACAAATCAAGTTACAATATGTAGTGTAATTTTCACCTTAGCGTTGAGAATATATATGTTCGGGATCTGATCCGCGAAAGTAGCTATTATTATGCGAGTATTAACACTAACACTCTATACCGGGTCAATCTATATGGGCGGAACACTTGATTTATGGCTTAACTATGACTTGTACGATAATTTGACTTAGATAAAAGGTTTGGACATTTCATGTACTATTTTTATTGTCGTTTACAGATTTCCCGCATACGTAATGATTTTCAAAATATGACGTCATCGGGCAATATTTTAAATGGATCACCCTGTATTTATATTTTTTTTCGAGTTCGTATGATCTGTCTGAATTCATCAATGGTACATTAAGTGGGTCCAAACTTATTTAAAATATTGCCCGATGACGTCATATCTTGAAAACCATTACGTATGAGGGAAATTTGTAAACGTTAATAAATAGTACATAAAATGTACAAAAACTTTTATCCAAGTCAAATTATCGTACAAGTAAGTCATAGTTAACTCGCGACAGTTGTACATAAAAATATCGCGTAATGGTGAATAACAAAAGTTCGAGATTCTCAATGCTAATAAATTTTATTTTTGTAAGAGACTGTACAAAACACATGTATATAAACACATATGGACAAGTTATAATTTTATTCAATTTCATCCGGCAAACTCGCAAATATTTAAACGATATGGTATAGAAATGTGTGACTTCCTCATACTAATTTTAAGGGTTTGTTTTGGTTCAAACAGAACCGCTGATTCCAGTTCTCAAACACAGTGGACGAATTAATTTTTCAAGAACACGTCGCGAGTTTATAACAACCTCTTAGCTGATCGAGTGTTACTTTGATACGTGAAGTGGCTACAATGTTGCCAAGTTGTAATAATTTTACGAAACTACTCGTCAACTGCTTTAAAAATATTTTTATTTTAAAAATCTATATCTTTTTACTAAGATAGTCAAAAAATTCAGCGATTATCTATAACTATAACTATATATAACTTCTTGATTTATTTAACATTAGTTTTTAAAAAATATGGTAAGAACCGTTATCGAGATATCTTGAAATAAATGCATTGCTTGTGTACATGATAGGCTTCAAGAGTGTTAATTATGCACATTTTGATTGTTAATATCTCGTTTCACAGATGGTCAAAAAATCTAATTTTTTTTAGTTACGTAAACGACACTTTCATAAACCTTATATTTAAATTTTATTGAATTCTTAAGAAAAGCCGTTTTACGAGTGAACTACCTTAAGCCATAAATCAAGTGTTCCGCCCATATAGAATGACCCGTTCCGCCCATATACAATGACCCTGTATATTAAATATTAGGGATCGACCGACATCGGTATATTGGTCTATATAGACCTATTAAAAATATTAATTAAATATTTCAATTTATGAATTTTTAAAAGAAATTTAAACACAAATATTAAATAAAATACAAAAATTATATTTTTATTTAGAATTTAGGAAAAAAACATTTAAAATCTAAAAGGAAAAGATTAAGTTAAAAGACAATTTTTAATATTTAAAGTCAAGTTTTGGTACGTTCGTAAAATTGGTTGAGACAATTAGTACAAAAAAGTATCATCATTAATACAGTTGAAATATGGAAAGATCAACAAAGATGTAGCAAGAGAAGCATATACATATCATCTTTAACCAAATATATAGTGAAATGATGGTGAATGAGTGAGTGAATGGGAAAGTAGTGGGACGTTCAAATGGTGATATAATAAACTGCGAGCTACAGTGCCAAAAAAAAGTCCCCAGCTTATATTGTTCGTAAAAACGAGGGTCATTTACCGGTAGATTTGTCTATTTTGTATAAATCCAGTTCCTCTATGGCTTTAAATTAAAAAGAGTGGCATTTTCGTACTGTGGCGTTGCGTGTACAAGCAAGTCAAAAAGCGTGGGTGTAAAAAAAATAAAAGCATTCCTAGCATTCATTTTTCAATTTTAAGCTAATGTTTTTTTTTGTTAATATGATCCAATTTATTTCCCTTGTTTCAGTAATATAATCATATTGCTTTTTTTAGGCTGTATTTATATGGTCAAAATTGTAAAAATAGGCTGATTTAACATGGGAAATATTTTACTATAGAATACAAATTTTATTTTTTATTTTTGTAGGAGGTAGTGTGAATCAACCGCTTGTCAAATCACGCACCCTTTAGAAACAGGTTAAATGAGTCTGTTATTTACAATTTTGACCAATAAATCATATATCTGCCGCGTTTGAGAATCCACATCGGATGCATCTGAGATGTAAAAAATCTTTGATCACGTGATTCAGTATACGTAAATGTAATGGGACAGATGTGTCCGATGTGAATAAAAAAACGCTCGAGATGTAAAAAATGCATCCGATGTGGATTCTCAAACGCGGCAATCATTGACATGAAGCCGAAAATGTATCATATTAAAAAAAGTATGGGTGCGCGATTTAAAACATAAATGTTAATGGTGGTTTCTGGCGGGTAGTTTTACAAGAGGTTGATTTGGGTTCATCAGATAAAACACTTTTAACCTTTATAAGAGTTATCCAGAAACATATGGGATACCTAGTATATACATTCATATATTTTGGTACACCTACTATTTTTTAAATGTAGTTTTCTGTGTGATTTGCATTGTTCCTTGAGCAGTTTGTTTCATCACATGCCGAAAATGAGACAATTATTATCCTGACCCTTAGTTCCGATTAATCTAGACATAAAAACTACCTAACAATATCTGTCATTCAAATATATTGACATCAATAAAAGAAATTTTTTTTGTTAAATCACACTATTCTTAATTTAAATATATTGAAAATTATTTTCTACTTTTTAGTTTGCATTTCTATTAAAGCGTGTTTTAAATTTAAAGTGAACAAAAAATAATTGTTCATTATAATTAAGAGTAAGTCATCCAAACACACAGGATAGTATATTTAAAATACAGGGTAGTGAATAACTCTGGCAACAAGATATTTTCTTTGAAACAAATGAATGTATAATTATGAAATTATAGGGTGATGAATGAGACCGTATTTTGCATTTTTTTAAAGGACATGTCAATTTTTTGTGATGTCAGCGTTTAGCATACCGCCGCCATTATATATTTTTTTAAGCCATAACACATGTTATCAAATAAGATTAATGCTTTGAGGCAGGCAGAGCCTGGAATACAGAAGAAAACAGGCTTTACTCCTATTCCTTACTAAATTAATAGGTGGTTCCATCAAGTGCGGTCACTGCTTGAGAGAGTTCAACTATTGGTTCCTGTCCGACGGACTCGGCACACATCACTGTTGAATATAAAAAGACACAACCAATTACAGACAAAGTGCATTTATTGATCGCTTATGCAAGAACTATAACAAATTTTACTCAGACTGTCATATATTTAAAAGTAATATTTTAGCGCTGAAAAGGAACTTGCAACTCCTAAATGTCTAAGTTTTACTCGTGTTATTCTTCCTTTTCTATTTTATATTTTTTAATTTATTTTATATTGTTTTTAACTCTACAATTTGGAATTTTACGTGCTATATAAATAAATGGCACCAGAATTCGAGTGATATATTAGAGGAAAGTTTTTTTTTCAAGAGTACGAAAAAAGTATCACATTACTAATGAAAAATGCTATAACATTGCAGTTCTATTAACCTACTTTTATTTTTCACTACTATTAATCCTAAAACATCTACATAAAAATACATATTAACTGTCAATAAATCATGGTATTAGCAGGAAGACTACAAAACATTTCGCGAAGCATTTTGCATAAAAATAAGTTTCATCCTTATAAAAGTCTAAACCACCAAGAATTAGCAGAAGATCAGTTTGATAGGTTAGAGTTTTGTGAAATGATTTTAGAGAAAATTGGTAAGCACAATAATTTCTAAGATTCTGTTGTATTGAGACAATATTTGGATACCATTTTCTCCCAGAGATGAATTGGTTGAAGAAGTGCAATTGTGTGTCCGGAAAGATCTTTCGACTTTTTGTTACCTTATATGTTTCCTTATCCAATTAAGTCGGTACCATATGAGAAACTTTTTTATTGTTAGTTTATGGAAAAAAGTTATTCTTTATAACAGTTCTGTATGGTCTAAGACTTAAAATACAACCATCAGATATTACATTTTTTGAGTCATATACGAGGTGCGACAAAAAATATGATTTTGGTCAAGGTAAAGTACTTTTATTTTCCACAAACCTCATATACGACTATTAAAATTTGATATCAGATGGTTTCATTTTTGCTTTTAGATCATATAGACTTTTTATTAAAAAATAACTTTTTTCCATAAAACTAACAATAAAAAAGTTTGCCGATTTAGTTGAATACACTATATAAGTAAATTACTAATACTGTATATCAGAGAACCCTTTGCTTGGATTAAATAAATAAACTTAACATTTTG